ATTATACTGTATGCTACATGTGATGGGTAGGTAGCTTCTTTTCCCTTAATTTGTATTTTCTAATTTTTGAAACTGGTTTTCTTTTTTAGTTTGTATTTGTTTATACAACAAGAACCTCTACATATATGTAAGCTCAAAATTGTAAGACAAGATGCTTTTAGAGATCTAAGACTCAAGTCTTCATTATTTATCATCTACACTAACAAAATTGTGATAGGTTATATTGAATATTTCTGCTTTGCTTCATTTATTCAAAACATGTTATGAAATTTAATGGTAATAAATCTTTCCTCCATCACACATGGAGACAATTTCATGCATACTTATTTGAATTTGGTGTTTGTCTCATTCATGATAAAAAAAATCCATACAGAAAATTGGAGTAGATATTCTTTACCTCAACTCAATAAAAACCATTTATGAAAAACCAACAGCCATCATCATACTAAATGGAAAAAACCAAAATCCTTAACTTTAAACTCAGGAACAAGACACGGATGTCCACTGACACCACTCCCATTGAACATAATTCTGGAAATATTAACCAGAGTAATTAGACAAGAGAGAAATTAAAGGAACAATGATTGGAAAGGGAGCAGTGGAATTATTATTTGCAGAACACATGATACTGTACATAGAAGACTGCAAAATCTCCACCAAGAGACTTGTAGATTAAATAACCCAATTCAGTAGTGTGTCAGGGTAAAAAGTCAACACTCAAAAATCAATAGCATTTATATACACAAAAACACCAAAAGAGAAAATGGGGAAACCATGCCTTTCACAATAACATTCCCCAAAAATGAAATGCTTAGGAAGCATCTTGCAAAGGAAGGAAAAGATTTATACAATGAAAATTACAGGACTTTGAGAAAAGAGATCAAAGATTTCAGAAAATGGAAAGATATTCCTTGCACACGGATAAGAAGAACCAACATTGTGAAAATGGCCATCCTCCCAAAACTGTTATACAGATTCAATGCCATCTCAATGAAAATACCATCAGTATACCTCACAGGTCTAGAGAAAACAATCCTGAAGTTCATTTGGAATCAAAAGAGACCTAGAAAAGTAAAAGCAATCCTGAATAACAAAAGCAAGAAAGGAGGCATAACAATTCCTGACTTGAAATTATTCTACAAAGCTATTGTGATAAAATCAGCATGGTACTGGCAAAAAAAAAAAAAAAAAGAAAAGAAAAGAAAGAAGGAAACAGACCTGAAGTGCAATGGCACAGATTAGAAGATGTAGAAACAACTACAAATACACTCAACCACCTTAAGTTTGACAGAGGGGTCACACACATTCACAGGGAGAACGATAGCCTCTTTAATAAATGCTATTGGAAAAAAAAGAACTGGCTTTCCACATGATGTAGGCTAAAATTAGACCCACGTCTATCACAATGAATTAAATTAAATTCAAAATAGATCAAAGACTTAGATATCAAAGCAGAAACACTAAAACTTCTAGAAAGAAAAAGTAGAAATCTTAAAGGCATAGGTGTAGGTAGATAGTGCATGAACAAAACCCAAACTGCATGGGAAATATTTTAAAGACTCAACAACCAGGATCTCATCTTTTTGAAAAGTTTCTGCACTTTGAAAGAAATCACCACCGAAGTAAAAAGAAAATACACAAATTCTAGATAGAGAGCCTCTATCTAGAATATACAAAGAATCAAAAAATAGGCACCCAAAATTCAAAGACCCAATGAAAAAATGAGCATCTCAGATGAATACACTCTTCTGAGATTAAGAAATACAATCGGCAAATAAATATATGGAAAAAAGTTCAACATCATTGGTTCCATCTTTATCCAGAAAGAATGGCTGTCATAAAGAAGTCAACCAATAACAAATACTGGAGAGATTGTGGGGAAAAAGGAACACCTCTTTACTGCTGGTGGGAGTGAAGACTCATACAAACACGATGGCAATCAGTGTAGAAATTTCTCAAAATAGTAAGATTGGAGATCCCCTTCAAGCCAGCTATTCCCCTTCTAGGTGCTTTTCCAGAAGAACTGAAAACATCATGCCACAGTAGTATGTGTGAACCCAATGATTATAGCAGCATAATTTGTTAGATGTAGTATTATTACACAATGGAGTATTATTAAACTATAATAAAGATAAATTCAAGGCTTTTTATAGGTAAATGGATGTAACTAGAGACCATCCTGATGAGTGAAATAAATCAGACTCGCATATGCAAATATCATATTGTCTCACTAGTGTAAGAAACTGAAAGAGTAATTAAAATCTGAAAGGTACAATAGATCCTGTGAAAGAGAGAATCTGCTCAGAGTGAAGGCAAAACTGGAACGAGGTAAAGGACAGGAAAGGAGGGAAGAGGGAGAAAAACATATTTATGTATGTATGCAGGATGACCTGGATAACTGTCCTGCTGATTTCTCCTGTTCTACAGAGGCAAGCAGTCGATACTTAAATTTTTCTCTTTTTTTTCATGTCATTTTAATTTCTTATAACTTTTTCTCCTCCAATTTTGCATGCTATATCTGTAACCTGCGTAACTAATTTGAACACACCATGCAATACAGCAACCATTTTTGAATTACTTTGGAATTGATTGTTTAAGTTCTGCATCATTTCTAATTTTTTTCATAATTTTGTATTTTCTTTAGATGATGATGGCGATGATGATGATAATAATAATAACAATATTTGTTCCCATATAGCGATCCAACTTGCAGAGCATAATTTATGGATTGCCTGATCAAGCCTGCTGCTCTGTATGTACATCTCCACCCTACGTTAATGTCTCAAGCACCTGTGGATCTTTCTGGATTTTCCACTGTGTCCCACATATTTTTCTTCTCTAGCTTCAATGCTTACTTCTTTTCAGAACTTACATTTCCTACTCTAGAGAATATAGCTTCCTAGTTGGCTTTTCTTAGTTGTTGTTGACATTTTCATTTAAATGTTTTTGACATTTTGTCTTGTCACATTCTCCGCTGTGACAGTAATGCTTTCTTCCCACACATTCAAACCATGAGCTTCCCTACATAATATGATAAAAAAACATTTAAAAATTAGATTATATTTTAAAAAATAGGATAAAGAATTCTATGCTTCTCATGTACAGGATCTCAGAACAAATCCTGAGGGCATTTCACTGACCTTCTCAGACCAAAAAGCTACAACTCTTGTTGCATAGGTCTTGCTTTACCTTGGTCTTAACCATCCAGTAGAAAAGTATGAAGTCGAAATATAAGAAATAAAGCCATGCTGTTAAGTTGAGCTGTGGGGGACTCAGGTCAAAAATTTCTGACATTGCCAGTTAAACAGAAGACCCAATGCTATTATGGGCTACTGGACTCTTTTAGAATATTTTGCTGAGTTTACACACCTATAATATTCAATAACGGAACTTAGAAAAAATGGGGTATACCGATGAATGTCCATTTTGTATCTGTGTATTCAAAGAGGTTGGGATAGATATATAGTTGCTTTCTCTTAATGAATAGAATGATTTGTTCTAATGGTGTTTGTAAATAGGATCACAAGTCCGCATCTTGTACAGCAATTAACCACTAAGAAGAATATATGCAATGTATTATTTGTTGAAACTGTACTTCCGATTTGATTTGAAACTGTCTCATTGCTGTTTATCAATAAAACTTTGAAAAAAAAAACCCATGAGCTTCCTTCCTGCTCAGGAATTTTCAGGCTCCAGGTAGCAGTGGACGATGGCCTGGGAGGTCATTCTTCACAGCCCCTCGGCCTCTGCCCTCTGGCTGCTCCTGCCCCCGCCCCCTCTCCCAGTACACACGGGCCCTTGGGGCAGACGATGAACAGCCCAAACTCTTCACCTGTCTGACTTTCCGGAATGCACTGCAGGAAAGGTGAACTGCATGACAGAGGCCAAAGCTATGACTGTTAGGCAAGGTTTTTCAACACTCTATTATGGATCTTTTAAAACATATATTTAATTTATTAATAAATATGGTGGAGAAAATCTGGATAATCACCTTTAAATTCTGTCAATTTTTTCATTATGCTAGTTGGATTATCTGGCTTTCTGCAAATGAGTCCAAATGCAATGCAGAAGGCAATGCACTTTCTGAGAGGATGGATGTGTTCCACAGATGTCGGGACACCTGCCCCAATGTGAAACCAGAGGAGAGGCAGGGCAGTGTGGGTAGTGGAGGTGGTCAAAATGATGGAAATATGTTAGATGCATGTGTGAATCTGTCAAAATGAAATCTATTAGTGTGTACGAACAATATACTCCACTACAAAGAAAGGTGGGGAAAAAATTGCCTAGTTTGCCTAGGTGCCTGTTTTTTGTACAAACATTAAGCATGTACCAAATATTTCTTGGAAATGAAAACTTGATATTTTTTAAATAATCTTGTAAGCATTATGGAAGATTAATTTGACTTGAATATCAAGCAAACGCTAATTAAATTGACTAGTGCACGTGCGTACAGGGCAGTTTTACTCTGCACAGCGTCACCTGCATCAGCATCATCGAATCCAGTTTCTTTTAATAACGTGGATACAGGGATTATCCAATGTGCGGTTGGTGGCTGCGCCAGGCTCTACTCACACATGTGACTACACCGGGATAATAAAGAAGAATTTTCATCTAGTGACAAAAACATGACGGCAGCATGAAGAAAGGAATCTACCCTGTAACGAAGTCATTGTTCCCACAAGGGACAGGGCCCTACGTCTCAGCCCCTGAGGATTGAATCTAGGGCAGGATAGAGCTGTGACAAGCAAGCACGGGGAACAGAAAGGAGAAAAGAGGGTGCCCCTATTTTTCGACTTACCTCTCAACGTGTGCACATTCAGTCAGCCTCAGTCCACAGCTCTCAGGGCCCCAGGCTTCTCTTCCTCTGGTGAGAACCACAGGGCGGCGCTGCAGGACCAGATTGAGACAAAGAGGCAGGAGCTCCTCCCAAACACCGCCCCTCTGGTCACCAGTTCCTCAGGTACTGCTCATGTCTGTCACTCAAGTCAGGAAGCCCAGTGCCAATTTGCTCTTGTGGGGATCCCGTCATGTTGAGTAGGATTTATGTTTGTAGAGAGCTTTCTGTTCTTCTCATCTGATCTCTCTTTGTAAGAAGCAACATAAGCAGCCATGCTGTGGGCTGGGGCCCTGCTTCTAGCTTTCCTGCCAGCTGGTAAGTGGGGGGCATAGTTGCTCTTGAGATATTTTTCCCCTAGCCATGCCAAAGAATGCCATTAACTCTAATTCATTATTTTGTGCTGTTTCCCCAGCAGGCAGTCAAACATCTTCCAACATGGAAGGGGGAATGGTCTCAGTCACCAGGAATCCTGGGTCACATGTGACAATCAGTTGTGACCTGCGTGCAGGAAGAAGCTACACTCACTGGTACCGATTTCAGGAGGGTCAGGCCCCCCAGCTCCTCCTCTATTATGATGTCTCCAGCTCCAAGGCTGTGCTGGATTCGGGCCTCAGACCAGGAAAATTCAATGCTTACCAAGTTTCAGAGTTTAGCAATAAACTTATAGTACAAAATTTGGAAGAAGGTGATGCCGGTGTGTACTACTGTGCAGTGTGGACAGTCACAGTGCTTCGCACCTGCTCTGTGCTACGCCGAAAAGTCTGCTTGTGGCTGCTCCTGGTGCACAGGCTAGATGGGCCCCCAGCTGACTTTCAGTCCTGATAGCTAGTATATTGTCATCAGCTTCCAGTTGATGGGTGGACGGAGTGTCTAATTCGTATATACCTTTGTCAATGTTTCTGTGATAATCACCTCGGAATGATTCTAATAAGAGAAGAAATTTTCAGAAACAGATAATTCAGCAGTGTTATAGAGGTATACATGGAAAATACTTTTGTATCCACATACTCTCATAAATACTCATGAATATGTATAAGGGAGCATCCTAATTTTGTTTTTTATGGTTGTTTGAGTTACTAACAACGGTAATCTCACATACACTCAGTTATTTCTAAAAATGACAGCATCAGCTTAGGCTCCTTCTCAGATCCCAGGATGGCCAGGAGCCTGCTGTCTCAGGCTCAACATGTAGTCCCCAGCATTCACATGACATGTCCCCACCCTCAGCTCCAAGATCTTCACTCAGGATCTTCCTGATCCGCATCTGTTACTCCAACCTCTGCATGGCCCCTTCAGGGGCTGAGTTCTGGATCCTCCCGAGTTGTCTCCCCTGGAGAACAGGCCACCCCCTCATCCAAGTCTTATGTCTCTCCCATAGACCAGAAGGACTACATTTGAGTCCTCCAAACCCCTCCTGAAGGCTGAGTGTTCACACACGACTCCCTGCCTATGGACTGTTTTCACTTACTGATTCCCTAACATTGCTGTAAACATGTCCAATGCAGGCAAATAAAACTGACATACTCGCTGAGAAATGATCAAAGACACCATCCAATGGACAGAGAAGAGGGAATAAGTCACAAAACCGAGGCTGTGACACTAGGAATAGGCAGATTTTATTAGAACACATGGCTGGTCATCCAGCAGTTGCTAAATCTCTAATGAAGAATCATTCGATGATAAGACCGTATTAGCAACTGTGAGACGCACTTGTGAATACCAATGATACAAAATACAACTTATTTCTACAATAAAATGTGTGCTTATTGGCTTTTATTCTGAAAGTAATATTTTCTTTTGCTGAGCAAAGAAAGGTAGAAGAAAATAGTATGAAAAGAAAAAACAATTCTCTCCTCTTTCTAATAGTTCATACCTCACTGTTTATTTAGCTGATTTTCCAATCCTCGGTTGCACTCTAGAGACATTTGCAAAGCTGTGACTTTTTCATTGGTATAATGCTAAAGTTGAATAGTCCTTCACTAAGCAAGTCTATTTTCTGGGACTGAAACTGGAACCTTTCTTCCCACTGAGCTACATTTCCAGTCTTTAAACAAATATTTCTAACTTTTAAGACAGGCTCTTGCTAGTTCTCCGGTTGCTCAGGCTGGCCTCCAAATTTCCTTCCTCCTATCTCGGCCACCCAGAGTTCGGAGATCCCAGGTGTGTCCCACTGTGGGAACTCATATAGGCTTATTGTGTGCTCTGGGTTGGCCACTTGTCTTGCTCCTCAGGACCTGGACTGGGTCGGTGCTTTGCCGCTCTCCACGGGATAGCTGGACAGTTCTCAGCCCCTTCCTGTGAGCCCTCGTGTTTCAGCCTGAGATGAAGTTTGGGGTGGTGGGCGTTGGTGTTGGCACAGCCTGCTGCATGCCAACCAGGGACTGTGGGCCCCACAGTCTTCTCACCTGCACACAGAGGCAATCCACAGGTCTAGCTGCCACCCTGTGTCCAGAGCAGAAGCTCATGGCAGGTTTGACCTGTGTCATGCAGGTGTGGTGGCACACAGACCAGTAATGGCGCTCACCGGGAGAAGACCACAGAGGAGCAGAAATCATGGAAGACTGATATCTAAGCCAACTCTTTCCTGAAATCAACTAAGTGATCTTCCTGAAATAGAACAATCTCAAAGGATCTCCTGAAAGATTGTAAGAACAAAAAAGATGACAAAGGATATAACTTTTACTCGGCAAATCGACTGATGATTCTAGTATTATACAGATCAGAGAAGAGCTCTGTGTTTTGATGACCCAGCTGAAGCTCTAGAAATGATAGACCTCTGTGAGGGACCCGAGATGCCATTGCTCTGTGGACACCCCAGGAACCCCCTCCCCGTGCTGCCCTGGGCCCTGCTGAGGCTTGCTCAGCTGAAGGCCTCCTCAGCTTTTCCCCTGGGCGCTTAGCCTGAAAAGTTAGGAAGTTATGACTACCCATAGTCATCAGCTCTTCACTCACAGATGGGGAGCATTTGTTCCCCTATTGTTAGAAGTGACTGAAATATTTTTTTCAAAAGAAATGGCCTTTCATCTGATATTTTTGTTCTGGCTAATATGAATTATCAATTTCAAATTAGAGACTGTTGGAGAACTGACTGGGCCCTGGGGTGCCAGGCTCACTCTCGCACTGACATGAATGTGCGGTTGGTTGGAGGGGTCCAGCTGGATCACCAAGCACGTGGTGTCATGCCTTGGGTGGGCATCACTTGCTGTCCTTTTCTCCTCTGATCTGCCTTCCGGCTCTGGCCACAGTAACATGAGTGGCTCTGTGGTACCCTGTGCTTCCACCATGATGTTCCTGCCTTTGACCAAGCTGACCATGTGCTGACACTTCTACCAAATAAACCATTTTATGCCTTAAGTGACATGCATCAGGTGTCTTGTCCCAGTCACAGAAAATTTGATAATATATTAATTTTCGTTAGTTGATATTAGATAACTATCATTAAAGCAAAGGGAAAAATTATTTACGCAAAAGAAAATGAGATATATTTCTAGTATTGTGTATCCAAAAAGAATTTTTCATATATATTCAGGTATGCAAAAAAATCAGGCTTTTCAGGATATGATATTTATTTTAACAAAAAAAAATCTTCGTTTAAAGTGATTCACAGAGAAATAACTAGAACCCTGAGAAACAAAGGCTAACTAAAACCATAAGGAACATGAAATTCAGACACTAACCTCCGAGCAGTCTGTATAGCTGTGTCCTGTGCAGTATTTGGAACTGAAAGTGTACTGAGATAGTGAACTTTTGTTCTCTACTTAGGCAAGGCTTCAAATCTGGAGTTTATATGTTTTCTGAAGGAGGTCAAGATCTTTCTGCTGGGGGGAGCGGTGGCTGGGGAGATAGTTCAGTGGAATAAGTGCTTTCCTGGCAAGCACAAGGGCCTGAGTTCAATCCTTGTTTCTGGGAGAAAAAAAAAAAGATCTTCGGGAATAGTTAACTTAGTTTGCGTTGCCCTGTGGCTGTCCTGCTCCTGATGGGGAGCAACCTGGTCATCCAGGATTTCGTTGTCCCCTTTGCAGTAAGGGAGGTCACATCCTGGGACTCAAGCACAGTGGGGGGAGCAGGAGGAGTCCCAGCAGGAGCTGCACATGCCAGCACTCATCCCAGGAGAGGCTGAGGGACAGACGGAGGCAGCGCTCACCTGAGTCTGCTGCAGGGGAGGAAGTGGGGCCTCAGAGCCTACAGCTGGGACTAGGGACAGCAGAATTTAATGCTGTTAAGTCTTCTATAAAGCTATTACCAAGCAAGAGAACATTACATCATTAAATACGTTTGTAACCAAGACATAATATCTTATGTGCAATATCAGGAAAATGCATAGAATGCTCTAAAACTATTCTTAAAATTCACAAAAAGTTATTCTTAAAATTTCAGAGAAGTTCATTGCCCCTTTAAAAATTCTTCCATTGATATATTCACATGTTTTATGTGTGCTTATATTTTATATACAAAAACCGCAGATAGATGGATAGATAGATAGATAGATAGATAGATAGATAGATAGATAGATAGTTAGATAGATGGAATCAACTCAGGATCTTACTCTTGGCAGGCCAGTGCTGTGCCATTGAGCTATCTTCCCAGCAAATACTGCATATTTAAAAGCACAAAGCTCAAGAAGAAGCATCGTGACCACTTATTAAGACAAGTATGTAAAGTACTGTTACCTCTCCAAATCCCATCCTTGGCCTCTCCTCCTAAAGCAAATTCACAGTGACCTAAGAGGAGGCACTGAGGGCCCCCTACAAGGAGAGACCCATGTACTCTTCCTAGTTTTTCCTATCCAGTAGTGAGAAGGGTCTGAAACAGAATGTCTGGCCAAACTCTCTGCCACAGGAGGACCTCAAGGTGACCTTGACCTTGGCTTCACGATCCATACTCAAGCTGTCATGACCAGGTCTGGACCAGCTGTAGTTGGGCAAAATATCACAATATAGCCTCATAAAGTTAACAAACTTTCAAGTAGTTACAATGATCCGAAGTCCAATTGTATCATCAGTCTTAAAAACAAACAAACAAAAAAGGGCAAGCAAAAAAGCTCAGCAGATTGAAGTGCCTGCTTAGGCAGATGCAGCAGCTGGGTTCAATCCCTGGCTTGTCATGCCAGCCCTGCCCTCAGGGTGCTCTGAGATGGTGATTAAGACTGGGCATGATGGCATGCACCTGTAATCCCAACTTTTGGGAGGCTGAACACAGGCAGATCTACATAGTGTGACCCTATAGACCCTATACTAAAACAAACAAATAAATAAATAAATAAATAAATACAAACGAAAAACAGATCACAGACCATCTCTACCCATCAATTCTTTCTATCCTGTACAGATTTGTTTGGGGCTTTGTGACCATCCCCTGAGAATTCAGCTCATAGAACATCTAGCACATTCTCCACCGATGACTGGATGCTGAAATGCTGTGAATTCCGTCCTGTCCTTTCTGGTACTTTTGTCTTGAATGGTTCACAATTACTGGAAATCTCAGGAAAATGTAGAAATATCAGTAGTAAAAAAAAAATCTCAGGAAAATGAAATCATGCACTTTGCCTTCCTTCTATATAATTAGGCAGATTTAGCTACATAGAGCTCACCCGGAGACCCAAGTGCACCATACATGAAGCCATGTGAAACACTTACGGTACTATGGGTGCGATTATTTTTGTCTAGGTTTCATTTGATGGATCCTTCTCTCTCTCTCAGCTCTAACACAGAGGCTGGTCTCCAAGGAGCACTGCAGGTCCACAGGCTGCAGCTGAGGCCTAGCAGCACTGAGGGCTGGACGAAGTAGCTCCAGGTCGGGAAGTAAGGACTCATGGGCTCTTACGAGATGCAAGTGTTCATTATCACAGCTCCAATGAGTTCTTAGTCCTTCAGGATAGGATTTGTGGCTAGGACAGGGCACAGTCCTTCGAGTGCAGGCCTTGATCGCCTTGTGCTTGCAGAGCTTAGAAAAAAAAATCTAAAGTCCTTTATGAGAGAATCAGATAATTTAAAGAAAAGACGCCATCTACTTC